CAACATTGCTTTTTCATAATATTCTAATTATATCGTAAAATAGTTTCACTATTCACCGCTAGCGGCGCCGATAGCGCATTTTTAACAGAAACAGAATTTTTAACAGAATCCACATAACTCTATGCCTCATCGCGAACATTTAAATAATATCCGCGGCTTTGAGGTAGCCCAAGGATCACCCCAGCCGCATATCAACCTACTGTCGCTGATATTAATAGATGGTGCTTTCGTATGGTATTATGGCGAAACGAGAATTGACTTCGTAGATTCAGTTGTAGGTTCAGGATAAATTTGACAAACGTTGACATCTATACGATACTAGCGATTCACTCCGGCTTCGCAAGGGTGATTTTTGGATATCGGTAACAGCGCCACCTACCGGATATAAAATCTAAACCAACTTATAAATCTAAACCATACAGGGACCTACTCAAATACACACAAAAATTTTCATCAAAATCGGTGAGTTTTAGCGAGACTATCGGACAGCAATTGATTTTTATATTTATAGACTACTATAATATGCATGTGTTATATATATATATATATATATATATAAACTTTCCTCTTGAATCATTCTGTCTATTGATGAAAACTTCATCAAAATTTTAAAAAAGATCTAAGCGTACAGACGGTGAGAAACTACTTTGGTTTTTATACTACGGAGAGATGGTCAGTAATATTAGGCTATCATGAAATTATTGCAATATTTGAAGTGGTCCAGTACTTCATGATAATATGATTTCAATTCAACGATCTGGCCAGATTTATACCTTGAGATAACTTGAGAGTTTTGATTTCATAGTTTTAATCTAAAATTAACGCCACCTATTTACTGCTAAATAAACTAATAACAACTGCTAAATACATTAAATATAATGCTACTAAATACTTACGCTTGCAGGATCAAAAACTTAAAATATCCAGCCATTATCGGGATGATTTACCGTAATTTCCACGTTTAGCAAACAAACTAACAAAAGTGTTATACTGGATACTGTGTATACAAAACTGTGATTTAAAAGAGAAACTCTTTAGTAACTATACTTATTGGATGTATATCGGCATAGCAATAATTTCACTAAATTTCCTTTGGTATTAAGTTATCCGATGTAAGTTTTAATCTCTATTTGATGGATTAGTAAAAATATAAGCAACTATTTTATAATATCAATCAATATTTAATAGGCCTATGATATAAAACAATATCTCAAATAAACACTCTGCCGTACATTAATAGAAGACAAAGAAAATCGACATTATTTGGTCAAAATTAAATTAAGTACCTTAATTTATGAATAAATGTAAAGAGTAAAAAGTAAATAACGTATTACGTACGTTATTAAAGATACCTCGGAAGTCATTACCGCGGACCGACATAAAAAGCGACAGGGGTTGCTAGACTTATGATATTAATACAATTCTAAAAAAATCTACATCTCTAAGAATTCAAAAGATATCACTAGACTAACAAATGTGACAACGAGGCAACTTTACAAGTGATCCAACTTTGTGGATTTTGGTATGTATTAATGATGATCCTTAACGGAAGCCCATGCGAGCGAAGCCGCGGGTAAATACTAGTATATACCCTTATAAAATTAATAAAAGAAAAAGCTAAGTATCACCATCTCTGCAAAAAATTCAATAATCCAGAAGATTATGCCTCTTTTACCACAATACGATCTAGGGTAAAGAAACTCGAAAAATAATGCTATTTCTCTCATATTAAATTACATCAAGATAAAATCGAATCATCGCCTAAGTTATTTTGGAGTTACATAAAATCAAAAAGAAAGAACCGATCTAATTATCCTCATGTAATGCAGTTAAATGGCTGTAATTTCGTTAACGAATTTGAGATATGTAATGCTTTTAATGATTTTTTTAGCTGAAATTTTAGCCAACCAGCACAACAATATAGTGATATATCTGAAGAGAGAGTGACAAGCTGTAATATAATAAGTGGTATACACATTGAAATTCCTAAAAACCCTTAATTGTTCCAAAAGTGCCGGTTGTGATGAAATTCCTCCCCTTTTCCTTACCGTATGTGCGAAGTCTTTGGCAGCTCCCATAACAGTAACATTTAATAGATGTTTACAAGAAGGATACGTACCAAATATTTGGAAAACTGCCAATATTAAACCAATCAATAAAAAGGATCAAAAACAGTCATTGAGGATTATAGGCCAATATCTATACTGAACGTGTTAAGTATAGTAATGGAAAAATAGTCCATAGGCAAATCTACCCGTTAGTTATTCGAAATATTCCTTCCCAACAACATGGCTTTGTACGTGGTCGCTCAACCTGCACCAATCTTTCCATCTTTAGCAACAATGTTCTTAGAGGGATGGATAATGGCCTCCAAATAGATGCTATTTAAACAGACTTTGAAATGGCTTTTGACCGCATTCATCATATCATCCTTCTAAAAAAGCTCCAGGAGCTAGGAATATGTGGAAACCTTTTCAGATGGATGGAATTGTATCTACGTAATCACTCACAGGCAGTCGTTGTGGTTGGATATCGCTCAAATGTTGTGGACGTTCCATCTGGTGTCCCACAAGGCTCAATATTGGGGCCCTTGCTGTATGCGGTATACTTATATGATGTGGGCATCTGTTTTCATTCTGCTAAGTTTCTGATGTACGCTAATAACATGAAAATTTACGCTTACATAAAATCTGAATCAGATGCTTATAAGCTAGAGAACGACTTATATCGGTTCTGCAGCTACTGCCGTTATAATCGTATTAGTGTGAATGTATCGAAATGTTTCCAAATTAGCTTTACTCGCAAAAGGAGAAAATTTATATCTCAATACTATTTGAACAACGTTCCTTTAGAAAAACTGACAAAACCAAAGACCTCGGAGTAGTCTTTGATTCAAAAATGACGATGACTGATCATATCTCGCCAATGGTTGCAAAGGCTTATAAAGATCTAGGCTTTGTATAACGAGTTTGTCAACCTTTTTCTGACATACAATGTATAAAGATTTTGTACCATTCTTATGTCCGTAGTGTCTTGGAATATTGTAGTGTTGTGTGGATCCCAAATTATAGATACAACTCACTCTCACTCCGCACTCTACTTCAGATGCTATTTCTTCATGATATCTGCAGTGACAAAATTGATAGCCCCGAATTAATTTCCTGTACTTTACAACTACGAGCACCTACTAAGAGCACTAGACATATTCCGTTATTTAATGTTCCTATAAGTTACTCAAATAATGCACAGAATTCTGTAATATGTCACATACTTAATATCCATAATAAAGAATTTTCTTCAACTGACATCTTCCACCAAAGCAAATCAGTCTTTAAAAAAGATATTATTTCAACATTAAGTAAGAAATTATAACAAACACACATACACTCACTACTTCTTGCTCTCTCTCTCTCTCTCACACACACACACACACACACACACACACACACACACACACACACATACAGACATACATACGCACGCAAAGTGTACATTATATGTGATGTAAATTTCATTTATGTTATTTATTATTGTATAGTCAGACAGTTGTTGTGTAATATCTTTTTTTGTCTCTGCTTATTGTCTTTTTCTTTTTTGTGAAACATATTTTTGAAATAACTTTAATATATCCAAGTACTTTATAATTAATATTATTAATTTGTAATGTTAAAATGTAATGTTAAAAAACAGAGTAAATGGGGCCCTGCACTCTATTGTGAAGAGTCAAAATGTGTCAAAAAAGGCACGTATGGCAATTCACAATGCTGTGTTGGTCCCTACTTTAACGTATGGTAGTGAAAGTTGGGTGTGGCAGAAGAAGCACGAGAGTAGAATAAATGCAGTAGAAATGCGGTCGTTAAGGAGTATGTTAGGGCTGAATCTGAATGACAGGGTGAAGAATTGTGTGATAAGAGAAGAGTGTGGTTTGCAAGATGATGTTGTGACCAGGATTAAGAAAGGAATGCTTCGGTGGTTTGGTCATGTGGAAAGAATGGATGAGGAAAGAGTGACAAAGAAAATTTATGTTGCAGAAGTGAATGGCAGAGTCGGAAAGGGACGTCCTAGGCGAAAATTTATCGACCAAATTGGCGATTTATTGAAAACGGGCCAAATTAGGAGTACCCTTAACCGACGAGCATGCATGCGTAGATATATGGATGTGAAGGAGGCGAGAGAGGTGTGTCAGGATCGTGCCAAATGGAAGTCTGTAGTCTCTGCCTACCCCTCTGGGTGACAGGCGTGAGTGTTTATGTTATATGTTATGTTAATTTGTAATATTGTTGATTGTAATATTATTAATTGTAAACTATAACAAGCGATAGTATGTACATTTATATAAAGTAAGCACCTGATGGCAAAAGAACTGTAATATTTATAACGTGCTGTTGGTTCTATGATCAATAAAGAAAAAAAATGATGATGATTATGTGGTAAAGGAGCGGCTTTGAGAGAGCCAGTTGAAGATCGTATTTAGCCACGGGCTTAAGTATCGATGTGGGTATGGTATTAAGAGTGTCGTATTGAAGTAGGGAATTGATAATGATATAGCATCCGTGCCAGTACTAAATTTATCTCATCGGTTTTTACTTGGCGTCTTACTAGGGGTTTTTAAGGGAGGGCAGGGATCTAGTGGGTTTACTTGTTTAATACGCTGTAACAAGTGTTCTAACGGCGATATAAATCTCATATTTTTATTCATTTAGGCGTCTGGAGGTATCACAATGTTACATTAATACTTAATGTGAAGAGTTTCATAAATAAAATACAAATCAGGCCAGACTGTATGGTCTAAGACTTTTGCTTGTATTTATTGGTGTTTTACAATTTTACAACAACATGTCAGATTTTAAAATTAAGGTTAGAATTTTGTCTTTATGAAAATATTAAATTTTTTAATAATATAAAATATGTAAATGTAGTTACGTTGTTGTTGTATTAGTTGAAGTAACCTTCAAAAAATTGTGTCAATTTGACTAATGCTAAATAACTAAAGTAAAACAATGACTTCCTTTTTAATAAATGCCTTTAAGCGACTGCATTTATCAATAGTACCTAATAGGATAATTTCTTCGGGATATGCAACGGCTGTCACAACTTCTGCAGATGCTATAAGTGTAACCCAGAAAGAATGGAAGTTTCCACCAGTATATACCAAACCGCGTGAGGTGTGGATTGAGAGTTTAGCTACTGTAGAAGAAATAAAACTAGGGCTGTTTGAGTTACATCCTTTAGTCTACGCTGCTGTTCCTCGAATAGATATTATTCATCGTAATGTTGTATGGCAGAAGAAATATCGTTGGGTGTCATGGGCACAAACAAAAACTAGGGCTGAAGTGCGCGGTGGTGGCAGGAAGCCGTGGCCACAGAAAGGCTTGGGCCGTGCTCGTCATGGCTCAATAAGATCTCCTTTATGGCGTGGTGGTGGTATTGCTCATGGTCCACGCTCTGGCAAAACTCATTTTTTCATGTTGCCATTCCATTTGAGAATACATGGTTTGACATCAACACTATCAGCAAAGCTTGCTCAGGATGACCTTCATATTGTTAAGGATTTGGAGATACCATCTGATGAGCCCGAATATCTTATTGATTTGATTGAAAACAGGAATTGGGGACCATCTGTTTTAATTGTTGATGAGTAAGTAGTTTATTAAATTTATTAAATCTGACACAGCATTATGAAATGTTTTATCTAAGTTATACACATAAATCATTATTTATTTATTAGTCTTGCGCATTGTAAGTAAATGCTGTGATCAGTTCAAGGGGTCATTCTATACACATACCCAATATGAAACACAGTACATAAAGCTGTTGGTCCTGCACCCATTCTCTCTGGTCATGTCAGATTCTCATCTCATTGGACTATGAGAATAGGAGTTTAGATAGCGCACCCGTTTTTGCTCACACATTCATGGAATAATCCTGTTGTGCACAAATAGATAGCTAGCCTCTATTGATACTGGCTGCCAAGACCTAAATTTGGTTTTGAGTTATTATATTTACAATAACCTACAAACAACATAATAATTATATTAGTATGTAATTTAGATAAATATAATTTATTAAATATGTTTTTATTAACCCTTCAAGCCCCATACAAATCCCATGCAGTCGCATGCGCCCAGCAAATCCTGAATGGACGCATGCGACCGCACCCACCCACAGCACTTAAACCATTAAAACTTATATTTAGAGACTACTTTTCTGTGAAAAAGTTAACATAAAATCTATACAAATTTCTCTACCCTGTGGTCTAAACAAAAGCCAGGTTTTACTTCATTACAAAAAGATTTTATTGTATTTTGAAAACAAAAAATATATCAAGTGAATGTCGGCAGCTTGAATATCACAATTATTTCAATGTATATTACTCGAAATAATTTAAGTAAAAAAATAAATTATATTCATACAAAAACTTTCATTACAATTTTATAATAAAACACTATACTAAACACTAATACTTTGCAGTGTAGTGGCGGTTGAGAATATCCACTACCCCATATCTTCCTGTGGGTGTCGTAAGAGGCGACAGAGGGACACAAAAAGTAGATGGGCAGCAGCATCTTCCTAATAACAACAATAACATAATATAAAACTGCGGTTGCCAACCCGCTCGCCAAGCGTGGCAACTATGGCAAATATCCCCCCATGAGCCACGACGCAAATAAACGGCCCCCAGTCCCCGGCGGCCCCGATATTCCTGGCTACGGTGGCGACCATGGTAACGGCGGGGCAGGGGGTGCTAAGAATCTCCAGTGGAGGTTCGGTTGCCACCTATGACGATTCGACCTGGCAACGTATAACGCACGCATCCTAAGGACTGACGAGAAGATACTGGAGATGGAAGAAGAGGTAGACAAGTTGCGCTGGGATATTATTGGATTATCTGAGGTCCGAAGAGAGGGGGAGGACACGGTAATCCTCGAGTCCGGCAACTTGTTCTATCACCGGGAGGGCGACCATCTGTCCCAAGGAGGTGTCGGATTTATCGTCCACAAGTCTCTCGTCAACAACGTTGTAAAGATTGGGAGTGTGTCGACGAGGGTCGCGTACCTGATACTAAGAATCACCAAACGGTATTCGCTGAAGGTCATACAGGTCTACGCACCAACCTCGGCACATCCCGATGAGGAGGTGGAGGAAATGTATGAGGATATTTCTAGAGCCATGCATTCCTCCAAAACCCACTACACGGTGTTGATGGGAGACTTCAACGCAAAACTAGGCACAAGAGAAGGCGGTGAGTTGAAGTTAGGGAAATTTGGAGTAGGGCAACGGAACCGTAGGGGCCAGCAGCTGGCTGACTTTATGGAGAAAGAGGGACTCTTTATGATGAACTCTTTCTTCCAGAAGCAGCCCCACAGGAAGTGGACCTGGTCGAGCTCCGACGGTTCAACAAAAAATGAGATTGACTTCATTATGACGACCAGACGCCAACTTTTGAGTGATGTCTCAGTGATCGTAAGGGTGAAAACCGGCAGCGATCACCGAATGGTTAGAGGCACACTGAACCTTAAAGTTAAGTTGGAGAGGTCTTGTCTAATGAAGTCAACGCTCCGTCCCCCTCGTGCTCTGATCCAGAATCTCGAGACTTTTCAGCTCGAGTTACGTAACTGCTTTCAGTGCCTAGAAGATTGCAATGCAGTGGATGATATGAATGACAAGCTCGTGGAAACTGTCCATGCGGTTGGAGCTATGTTCTAAAAGACCCGCCGCAGAAGAACACAAAAACTCTCCTATCACACTCTTAATCTCATGGCTGTTAGACGGGAGATGAGGCTGCGATCGTCAACAGATTTGACAGCATACAGGCAACTGAACAGACAGATCTCCAAATGCATGCGGCGATAACTTTAATACTGCTCGTATTAAAGAAGCGATCGAGCGGAACCAGGGCTCCAAAGTCTTTGCCAGAGATCTGTCTGCCAGAAAGAGCCAACTTTCAAAGCTGAAGACTGAGTGTGGCAGCATCGTTTCCGAGACACCTGAGATTTTGAGTGAGATTGAGAGGTTCTATGGGCATCTGTACACATCATCATTGGAGCCACACGCAAGTGTGAGTAACTATCCAAGAGCAAGTCTTACCCGACACTATTCCGATGATATCCCGGACGTCAGTCTGAGCGAGATTAGAATGGCTTTCCAGCACCTTAAAAACTGCAGGGCCCCAGGCGAGGATGGAATTACAGCGGAGCTTCTGAAAGCGGGTGGAATACTGGTACTTGAAGTCCTTCAGAAGCTCTTCAATTCCGTCCTCCATGGTGGCACTACTCCGGAGGCGTGGAGCAGAAGTGCGGTGGTCTTGTTCTTTAAGAAAGGCGACAACGCTCTCTTGAAGAACTACAGACCGATTTCCCTTCTGAGCCGCGTCTACGTGCTGTTTTCGAGAGTCATTACGAATCGTCTAGCACGCAGACTCGACGACTTCCAGCCTCCCGAACAAGCCAGTTTCCGAAAAGGCTTCAGTACCATAGACCACATACATACCCTGCGGCAGATTGTACAGAAGACCGAAGAGTACAATCTGCCACTTTGCCTGGTGTATGTGGACTATGAGAAAGCCTTTGATTCCGTCGAAATTTGGGCGGTGCTACAGTCCCTTCAGCGGTGTCAAGTTGACTGTCGGTATATCGAAGTGCTAAAGTGTTTGTACAGTAGGGCTACGATGGCTATCCGAGTACAGAACCAGAGTTCGAAACCTATCCAACTGCAGAGAGGTGTAAGACAGGGTGACGTTATATCCCCGAAATTCTTCACCGCTGCGTTGAAAGACGTTTTCAAGCTACTGGACTGGAAAGGATACGGTATTAACATCAATGGCGAGTACATCACTCACCTTCGATTTGCCGACGATATAGTCCTTATGGCAGAATCGCTGGAGGACCTTAGCACTATGCTCAATGACCTCAATGGTGTCTCCCAACGGATAGGTCTTAAGATGAACATGGACAAAACAAAGATCATGTTTAATGTCCATGTCACACCTATGCCGGCAGTTGTTGGGAGCACTATGCTCGAAGTTGTTGACGAGTACGTTTACCTGGGACAAATACTCCGACTAGGTAAGTCCAACTTCGACCGAGAGGTCAATCGACGGATTCAACTCGGCTGGGCAGCGTTCGGGAAATTACGACACATCTTCCCGTCAGGTATACCTCAATCTCTGAAAACTAAAGTGTACAACCAGTGCGTGTTGCCATTGATGACTTACGGATCAGAGACGTGGTCCTTCACGGCTGGCCGTATGAGGACGCTCAAGGTCGCTCAGCGAGCTATGGAGAGGGCTATGCTCAGAGTTTCTCTGCGTGATAGACTCAGAAATGAGGATATCCGCAGTAAAACCAGAGTGACCGACATAGCCCAACGAATTAGTAAGCTGAAGTGGCAATGGGCCTGCCATATAGCTCGAAGAACTGATAACCGATGGGGAAGAAAGGTTCTCGAGTGTCAGGCTCGTACCGGTAGGCGTAGTATAGGGCGACCCCCCACTAGATGGAGTGACAACCTGGTAAGACATGCAGGAAGTCGATGGATGCAGGTGGCTCAGGACCATGCTTTGTGGCATTGCTTGGGGGAGGCCTATGTTCAGCAGTGGACTTTTGAAGGGCTGTAATGATGATGATGATGATGATGTTGAAACACTAATAAAACACTACAAAAATCCAAAAATCAACACAGTAACATTCATGCGAAAATGGAGTACGAAATGAATGTAGATTATTAATAAATATTCATAGGATAACAATTTTTTTATTGCACTAGAGGATAGAGTATTTCATATTGATTGTATAATGCTAAGCTTCTTCATAAAAAAGTAGTCTCTATATATAAGTTTTTATGGGTTAGTGCTGTGGGTGGGTGCAAACTCATGAGACCACTAGGGATTTGACGGAATATGGCCGCTGTCTCATGAGACCGCTAGGGAGTTGAGAGGTTAATATTTACAATTACAAGAAAAGGTTAATTTGGAACCGATTTAGCTATCACTGTGATTATAACCTTATTATCATCATTACAGCCTATCAAAAGCTGAACATAATATAAATGCTGTGATGAAAATAAAATAGACTGTCTCATATGGTGTCAGTTGCCATAGTTGCCATAATTGGCACCCAAAGAAGATGCTGCTGCTCTTCTATTAGTTTTTCTCTGTCACCTCTTAAAACACCCATGGGATGACCATCTGACCATCTGTCGCACATACCAGAAAGGCTCGATGCAAGACTTGCACATCTGTGGTGTGATCACTGTTGAACATAAATTAATTCACTGTGTTGCTGCTTAAATAACCTGTTAATATATATGGAAAGGCTTGTCTATAGACAAAGGTAGATAGGAAATAAGAGCGAAAAACAAATTTGAGGAGTCCACCAGTTGAAAATCATCATTAAATTACCCCAATTCAATGCTTGTTCAGCAGCAGTATTTTATCTCTTATTTAGTGTTTCTTATTTATTATTTGTTGAAAATCACAGAGTATCAAGAAATACAAATTATCTTTAATATTTGCACATAGTTTTATGTGTTTTCATTCCCTTTTGTTGAGAAATTAATATTTTAAATATATCCTTTTTTTTACGAAATTGGATACCTTTATATGTAAACAAGTTTATTACTTAGATTTTAGCACGTGTCATAATTTAAATTTAGGTAAGCAAAAGTTTTGATTACATTTTTTTGTATAAACCAGTCATTATTCCCATATAAAACGTGAAACTTTTTTGACAAGTACTGTCAAAATGGGCCACAAAGATGGTACCATATGAGGGGATTGGTTACCTTATGTTGCCATTATACAACACACCATTTTTAAAATTCTATGAAAATAGTCCTATGTGTAACAACACATTTATATAAATAAATATGTAGAGAAAAAGATATATATATATATATATATATATATATATATATATATATATATATATATATATATATATATATATAATTGTAAATATGAATTTGCAAATGCTATGTATGTTATAAAAATATAAATTTCTTCACAACCTTCCGCTAAATAAATACAATGATGTGTCTTACCTGGATTGAAGATCAATCCAGGTAAGACACATCATTGAAATATATATTTTTATTTTTTATTATAATGGATTTCTGCAAAGTAACACCTGATTCTATCAATTAGCTATGGTATGTCTCTAGTATGATTTATTACTAATGGTTTTGATAGTTCTTTAACTTAACCTTTATATAAATAAAGTTTTCCCATATAAAGGCAATTATTCACAATTTTTTTTTTCAGTACTGATATTGCTCCTAGAAACATAACAGTGGCTACAGAAACTCTTCCACATGTAAACATAATGCCAGTTTATGGACTAAATGTATATTCCATGCTGAAACATGATACACTTCTTCTTACCTTGTCTGCCGCTGAAAAAATAGAAGAGAGGATACTACATCACCTCCATTCTATAACTAATGAACAACAAGCTGAATTTAAATTAAATCAGATTTAAAATAAATGTCTTTTTAGTAATTATATAAGGTAGGTAATTTGACATCTTAAATAATAGTAAAATATTAATCCTAAAATATTGTTTCATTTCATGGATTTTTAATTAAGTCTATGGTTTAAAAAAAAGTAAATTAGTTATTTATCTCCCAAAAAATAAAGATATTTGTCACAATCAAGGAATGTAAAGGTTCCAAAAGAAGAGGCAGTAAGAAAATATTATTTATGTATCAGTACTACAATTAAATATCAATGTCGTTTTGAATGGAGTAGTTATCTTATTGTATCTGTATTGTTTTCCTTGGAATCACTAGATGTGAAGCATGAATGGGGGCTCCATATAATTAAATTAGCAAGCAGACTTAGATTGTGCAGCATACTGTAAAAAAGATTAGTTTCACCAGCATTGAAACAGCTAGACTAACTTAGTTAATTCTAGCATTATGTTTTAAATAGTATTTTGGTATTGGGTAATATTATTTAGATTTATGTATACATTTAGAAATTTCATATGAGTTTCTGGTGTATTTTCATTAGTCTTAAGGTAGACATTTATATTTTTTATTATTAAATTACAATATATAAAAATAAATATAAATGTTTGTTCATATTTTATGCGCTGCCATACCATTCATAAAATTGTGATAAAACTGCTAGCATATTACTTGCACTTACTAATGGTGGTTAATATAGCGCATAGCGCCATATTATAGCGCGCTATCTCTCCATAACACAGCGCGTGCTATGTAAGTAGTCGCCATGGCGCTATTACCTAAGTGTTAATATCTAGCGGCAACCAGCAACTAGTTCTAGCAGCAGCGCTGTAGGGAGAGGATGTGTGGCACAATTTTGATCTAGTAGCACGCTACAGTACCTATTCATCGCGCGCGACCAAATTTAGTGTTAGACGTTGTTTAGTTAGTGTACACTGTTTGTTTATAAGTGATCGAAGGACACAGTTGTCTGCTATAAAACGAAGCCTAACTAATGTTTTTAAATATAAATAAAATATAGATACAAAAGTGTATGTAAATAGTTAATTTTATAAATACAATCAATAAACTTTTAAATACACAGTTATTTGATTTATGATTTATGTTAAGGTTAAAATAACGTTTACATAAATTATAATAAAAATAATTTATTTTATTTCGTTTTAAAAAGTACATGCCTTAAAAATATTTTTAGGATTATAGAAAGTCGTAAGCCTGAAAAAGCGTTCATTGGTTTTTCTTTTCCGCGCTTTGTTTTATTATAGTCTAAAATGCGACTTATTACGAAATAATGTTCTTATATAGCACGCGGTCTATCCAATGAACGACATGTAATGTAACGTGCTACGAGATATAGCGTGCTGCAAAACTTAACGCGCTTGCCGGCCTCCTACACGCTTTCTTATAAATAGCGCGCTATAACAGCGTATTTAATAGCGCGCTAGAAATGTATAGTTTATAGTCTGTAGCGTACTATCGATTTATAGTCGTTTTGAACAATTTAGCACTTACGCCGGAGGTACATATAGGCATAGTTGGACCCGGTAGATGGCGCTGTTGTAGAATCCAGATATAACTTGTGCGAAGCCAGGGCCGACCACTAGTTATAAAGTCTTTTCAATCAGATGTCAGCTATATAGCTTTTATAGCTTTAACTCTTTAGAACGTAGTGTTTCAGAACTTAACAGAATAAAGAACCATTCCAAAATTTGGAACTGGTTTTCTACCCTTGGTAACAATTTTACTTAGAAGTAAAGATATACATATGGCATTGATAATGGATAGCAGTGGATTCACACATTTGCCGCCAGTAGGCTATTCAAATTTTGCCGCCCCTATTGACTTCCTACAAGACGATGCCTTAGTTCACAATCATATGCACTAAAATATTTTTGTCAATGAAATTGAAACTTTATGACTTGTGCACATTGAGAATATTATAATATAAGTCTTTGCTTGTGCACTATAGTCTTAATTACACCACCTTATTGCCGTAATTAGTATGATTGTGAAATAGGAGATCATTGAGTCACTTTCCTAGATTATTTTAACAACCCAAAGATTTAGTTAAGATTGCACAAGAAAGATTTTCTGGTTATACTATTAAGCTAATAAGAGCTCAATCATGTACATATAAGACTTAAGGCAACTTACATTCGGTAGACGTAATTAAATAATTTTTAATACACTTACACTTTGAAAACGATATATTAAATTTTACGTGGTAGAGCCATGCTGAAGCTATATTATAGTTGTAGTATGAATGGTTCGGCTCGACAGTGGAAGGATCCCGCACTCACAGAAGAAGAGAAGAGAACCGGAAACCCTCTTACTGGATATGAGGCATTCCATCTTAGTTCTCAGGGGTAACAACGTGTCTGCATTTTGATTCTTAATAGAAGATAAATTTAGATGTTCATCAATTATATTGTCGTTAGAAATATTGTTCATTAACTGACTGCACTGCACAGAAGACCTAAGACGTTTAGCTTTTTTGGCTTATGGTACATCTTAGATAATTTTTCACCCGTTTTAAGCCAGAAAGGCTTCTCTCATTTGAATAATTTGAGTTGGTGTACATAAAGCCATATGAAGTGCTACATCAAAGTTCGGATAAACTTTTTACAAATTCTTTTTTCGCAAGAACGAAGATAGACTTTAATGATTCAGAATCAGGTTTCACTATAATTCTTTCAGGAGAAAGGTGGCATTGAAATGTATGCATTCATGAACTAAGTCAGTCTCTTAATCATAAGAAAACATTTCTTCCAAGGGCTTTTTCCGTATCTACTAGTTGAAATCACTAATTTTCCTCAAAAATAAAAACTTTTAATTGAATGTGTTGTAAGTGTCTAGCGAGTCTATCAATGAGGGAGAGAAATATATTCTTAACCCTGAAAATATCATTCGTAGTTATTCTCATTTCTTCATCGGGTGTTTGATTTCCTTTTTTCCTTTTCAGTTGTATTTTTCAACGTCTTTTGTATACTGCTTCAACACGCTTATTTCCATTGCCTTTTCTTCGAAATACTTAAAATTTTCTCTTTCAGCTACGAAAAACTTGCAAAGAGGTGCTTCGCTTCGCATTACAGGTTTTTCAGTGCAATCATCCTTGAGTAATTCCAAAGTTTTAAGGACTTTGTACTTAGAATCTCTAAACTTCCACAAGCGTCCTCTCTAGCTGACCAAGTCGTCAGATTTACCCTCTTTAGAATTTTCCCTTTCTCGATTTCAATTATTCTTTTTTACCAGCGTTGTGTCGAACTTATATAAAAATGTCTTGAAGCAACATCAAGAAACGACAAGTTATTCAAATAGCATTCAGCAGCCGCAGTTGCCATTGAATTTAAAGAGTAACCATATTAAGGTACGAAAATGTTATGATTTACGAAATAATGGCAGAAAAAATTTCTTCATTTTTCATTTTAAAATTTAAATATCTTTAATTTCTGTGATTCATAACAGTAGTGATAATATATGTTACTTTTATATCATACAGTATGTTTATAATGATTTGTACAGTACACTGTAGCCAGCTTTCTTTTTCATTTTATTTTCTTTATTTTTTTAATCACACTAATTGTTTAGTAACTAATGTTAGCTTTAAGGTTGCCCTAGTCGATGGCACGAACTAAGTGGTGGGCGGGGCAAAAATGCATGCTATCTCAGCCGACATCTCGTGCGAAAGGGATAGACGCTGTGATGAGCAGTAAGAAGCTAGTGCGCACACACATACGCACTCGAGTGACGCAATGCGCGACGGCATCATCGCGTACCTAGGTACCTATGCGTTTCATTTTAGAATAATAACATAAACTCAAACGGCAATTGTGAACTTCGTGCCGCAATAGCTTAGCAATGAGTAGCTGCGCTGAGTGCCGCGGGTTCGAATCCCCCCACGGAACAAATATTTTGTATGGACTACAAATAGTTGTTCCGGGTCTGGATGTTTGTTCTTATGCAATTTATATTTGTAAACTGCCTCCACGATACTGGAGAAAATCGGGGATAACGTATTTTAAAAAGAGAAAGGAGAGAGAAAGCAAATTGGTGTTATTGTAACTTAGAATCTGCTGTGTGAAACGTAATTATTATGAACCCAATTTATGTGCTTAGTTGTTATGATGAAAGTTCTTATGTGAACTTAAGTAGATGTTGTTATTATATAATAATTCCATTGATTTGTTTTTACCTACATTTTAACCGACTTCGAAAAAAAGGAGGTGGTTCTCAATTCGTTGATTTTTGTTTATGTATGTTCTGTCCCCCGATTTCTCGAATATGCCTGAACCGATTTGGATATATTTTCCAGATAATCCCACGGTAATCGACGATGATCAGATCAGGATCTGATGATGGGATCTTGGAGAAATCGGGGGCACTCTTCAATAAATGACAGCAAATCAACCGCGATTGCTGCTATCGCCTATCTATGCATTCTTTACGCAATCACACAATATAATATCACGCCTGTACCCACTAAAGGGACATAACTCTAAACTAAAAACGGTAACATAAAAAACTTTTTTTGAAAAAAAAATATAACAATTTCTAAAACAAACACAAAAAAAGTGTAACATAATTACGTTTTCTGTATGTTTTTGTATTTTACTGTAGGTTATGCAAATATTACTGTAGGTACTATGTATTCTAAATAGGTATTTACTTTCCATAGCTAGTTAGCTATAATAGCCCGCAGGCAACTCCCCGACCCCGAAGTATATGTCAGCCAGTGTCAGGATAACTGCTTTTTCGACAGCGCGATTTTGATGTGAGTGTGGCTTTTATATAGGTAAATTAAATAAAAAAAATGTTAGTTTGTAAATTGTTTATTGATTGTTTGTGTTCAATAGCGGTTTGAAATATTCTCTTAGTACTTAGAAAGTTATTAACAACAGGCATTGTGTCACTGCAGGGACAAGCACAAACGTCTATCAAAATAGTAACGTATATAAACGGAATACTAACAGCATAGACTTCCTTACAGAAGTCCAAAGAACACGTCTAGGCA